CCTGTGTAACCACAGGCAGCCTGCCCTCTGAAAGCACATCACACCAACCTTCCAAAGCCCAGATCCCTATGTCCATGGACAGCACAATGGAAAGAGCAAGGCCAGCCAGCAGCAGGATGGAAATTGCTTTCCCCGACTCACCACATCTATCTGCTGCTGCTTTCTTCTCACGGCAATGTTCCATGGAAAGAACGATGCAAACAAAATATGAACAGTGGGAGCTATTGATACCTGCTGCTCAGTGTGGTTTCTGAGGAAAGTGGGGAAATCTGAAGAATTTTTCCAGTTTGCAGTGGAATTTGCATGCCCATCACAGCCCATTCCCACAGAGCACAGGGGACCTGAACTTCTTCATTTCCCTTCAGTGCCACTGTATTTCAGAACCACTGATGCTTTACTTTCTTGCCCACCATGCTCTTACCTTGGAAAGAAGCTCAGCATGCACTCATGGCAGCCCGGGAAACCTCTGCAGTTCTGGGCTGATCACTTTCCATTGCACAGAAAATAAATCCAAGCACACCAAGGTGGCCAAAGCCATCTATCAAGCTAAATGGAAACTGTAAATTCATGCTAACTGGAATCTGATGGAAACCAATTGGGAACCTCCTCCTCCCCTAGACCTGGGTTTGGCAGAGAGTCTGATGTCTCATCACCTCCTTTGTGCCTCCCTCAGAGGCTGCACCCCTCCCAGATTTATCACATTTAACAAATATCTTCTTTTTAATACCTCCATCAAGTTAGCACACAGCAGATTATGTTAACAAGCTTAATTAGTCAAGTAAAGCTAATCATATTGCCTCATACACGTGTAGGATTCAGCATTTGTATCATTTCAACATTACCCAGAGTAATGCATGCACCAAAGGCTGGCTTTAAATGAATGAGCTGAATTTACACCCAGAACAACTATGATGAAACACTGAGGGAACACCAGTGGAAGCAAAGGTTCACCAATTAGGCACAACCTCACCAAGTTCCTGCAGCCTCACTTATGGCTGCTGACTGATGGCAGGGGGAGGAAGGGAAAAGGACTCTGGCAAAGGCAGCCTTGCTCCTCTGACCACATACACGAAGGAAACGCTCAGGGGGTGATGTCCCATCCAAAATAATGGGGGAGACTGGTTCCTAAACCAAAAACCCATGCTACGATTAGAAATCCCAGTCCGCAGTTGTCATGGGTATTAAAACCAAACGTGGAAATATGGAAAAAATGAGTAAGCCCATTTGAATAGTGTAAAACCCAGCCTGCAGAGGATTAAGTCCAGTTCAACAGCTCTGCAGCTTGACAATATTTTCCAAAGAGCAAGGTCAAAAGGTATGAAATCAATAGCAGCCCTGTTGGATGGCTGAGGTTTGTCACAAGGCACACACCCACCCCTCCAAGGGCAGCTTTGGTGACAGTGGCTGCTGGGCAGCCACGCAGGGACCAGCAGGAGGGCCTGCAAGCCAAGCAAGCACATGGGAACACACCTCAAAGCAACACAATGTGTGCTTTTGCTCTCATCCCAGGAAGGGCAGCATTTACAATCAAAACCAAACAGACTGTGGCAGACCCCAAGCCCTTCCCCATGGTTGGGCCATTAAGCAGCAACTCGCTTCCTGCCCTCCTACCATCCGTTTTCCCCTTCCAGGACAATGTTCTCACCCTGGGAACTCCTTTTCTTTCACCTCACACCACTTTCACAGAACCTTTCCTCCTTCACCGCGCATTTCCCTCCCCTGTGCCCCTGGTCAGCACAGCTGCAGGTACTTTGCAGGCAGCTGCACATGGCACATGCACTCCTTGTGCTACCACACGTCCCGTAACACAGCACCTCCATGCCATGCTGCTGCCCACAAGGCTTACAAAAATATCCTCCATTCTGTTGTGCTCCTTTTTTCCAGCAAAGCCCCTGACTGAGGGCTGCAGGCCGGACTCTCCAGCTGGTGCCGGAGCTCTGCTGGTTTGCAGTGTTAGCGCTGAGCAGAGCTCCCTCCCTTCCCCCCCACCAAACAACCCAAACCACATGGTTTAAACGGCAACTTCCCTTCTGGTTTTGTCGATTTTTAATTTTTTTTTTTCTTCAACATTTTCCTTCCCAACGCCTGTACTTGTCAGCTCCTCTTCAGCTGTCAGCCGGCCCACAAGGGTGGATGGAGGGGGAAAACACAAAAGCCAGTCCCAGCCCAGCACTCTGTGCCTGGCTGACATCCTGAGCTTCCTCTGCTGGCTCCAGGCAGGCTGATGTGGACACTGCTGGGAGCGATCCGTGCAGGACAGTGCTGTGCTCCCCTCCTGCCCGCTGCTGAGTGCTGACCGTGGGAAGGTGTGCAGGGCCTCGGCAGGGAGCTGCAGCCAGAGGAGGCAGGAGGAGAGAGGTTGGATCATGGCTGTGCCCCAGGGAGGCTCATTAAGAGAGCTCAGCCTGCATCCGGAACCTCCTCCTCCTCACCTTTCATCCTGCTGGATGCTCCTTGCTCTCATTCCTTCTATTCACATTTTGGTGCCCTGTAGCCATTCCTCCTTCCTTTCCAGATCCTCTTCTCCTTCCCACTCCATGCTTTCAATCTCCTTTTTGGCCTTATTCCTGCTCCACAACCTGCCTTCACCATCTCCCTGGCACCCACATGCCCCATGGACAGCCCAGCAGTGTCACACAACACCTGTGCCCAACCACTCCTGCTAGCTGCAGCAGCCCAGCAATGCACCAACCAAAAACCAAGAGGCATGAGGAGCTGGGACAATGTCTGCCTGCACTGCTATTTGCCTTGGCATCAAGAGGTGCACAAAATGCAGAAGAGCAAGATGTTAAGTGCAGAAGGTGAAAACCACCAGCTGAAGTGCTTTATGGCACCCAGCACATCTCCCCTTGCAGGCAGGAACAAAAGCAGGGCTAAGCGACACCAGTGGTAACATGCAAAGCCGAACAGCTGCTAGTTTGGCTTGTGCATCACCCTAAAACATCCCCTTTGGATGTGGGAGGGTTAACTCCCTGCCAAAGATCAGCTCTGTGGTAGGAGAAATGAAACAAGAAAACAAGTGAGGAAACACCATTCTAGAATCATTAAGGTTTTGGGACTCTCCAACTGGCTTCTATTAGGATTGCATCCATATTTGGGCGCCTGGAGGAAGGAAAAATAAAACAAGACCGATTTGCAGAGGCACAAAGCCACACACAGGATCCTTGATTTGCCTTTGCTGCCTGCAGGAGTTTGGTGCACAGCCCTAGGAGGTCCAGGAAGGGTGATTGAGGACCTGAAGTTCTATTCCCTTCATTTTTGTTACAAGCAAAGCCTACTTGCAGACTCACAGCAGCAGGAAGTTCATGTTTACAAGTTTTCAAGAAAAAAAGAAAAAAGTCCAGCATTCCTGTCCTCTGTAATCCAGTGGTGAGACTCAGCTCACGTGGGAGCCCCCAGCCCAGGGCTGCATAGAGCTCTGCCTGTCTGAAATACCCAGCCCCAGAGATACAGCTATGGAATAGCCAAGGGCAGAAGGAAAACAGTAATTCAGCAGCTCAGTGGAAAATACACACTGAGATACTGTAACCATGCCTGGGAAAAAGCTTTTAGCATCATGGGTTCACACTCTGAAGAATCTTAAGAGGGTGGAAATCTATATTCAGGTACTAGCATAAGGCCTTCTCCTCGTGCTCCCTGCTATGTCCTCCCTTACGGATACCAAAAGACCACAATCCTCTCGCAGAATTAAGGCACAAAGCAGGGAGACCCCAGGCAGCCTGCATTCCACCAGGATGCCAGAGCCACATTCACATCGCTGCATGTTTATTTAGGCCATGTTGTACAGTTTAGTAAATACTACAGAGCGCCTAGGGGAAATCCTGATTTCCTGCACACATATTGGTCCCAGGGAAAGTTTCAATCTTGACAAATGGCTGCTTTCCAACAGAAAAATGATTCAATCAGAAGATTCTTCACCAGATTTATAAAACAAACTCGTTCAACAAAATGAGTGCAGATCATTGCAGCAAAATATGGTGCAACAATCAGAAAGACCAACGAGGTAGAACAGCGATACAGAAGGCATAAAGACAAAGGGACTAGTGCAATAGAAAGGTGTTGCAAAGAGAAAGTAAAGGTGCTCACCTGCCTCTGAACATCTAATCGCAGAGAAACCTGCACAAGGGAGGATCTCCAACCTCCAACCAAGAAATCCTTCCTTGGTGGCAGTCAGCCCTTCAATGAGGTCTAAGAGAGGTGCAGCCAGGCTTCACCTCTTCTGGTCCCGCAGTTCAATTGCACCTGTGCTCCCAGGGCTAGCCGGGTCCTTTCCCCAGGTGCTCAATCAGTGGCTCAGGCCATAACTCAACAGTTACCAACACACACAGCCAGCTTCTCCCAAAGAAGCAACAGAACAGGCGAGCAGAGCACACAACTCATCCACCTTGGAAACAAGCAGGATTCAATGTGTGCTTGCCAAAGAGCAGCACTAAGCGTAGCACATGTGCACCCAAAGCCCTGTGTGGGGCTGCCCATCAAAAATGTAGTGTCCACCCCACCTCCCACAGACAGCCACACTTCCAGTACAGCAGTAACAAGATTCCCAGCTAGATGAGAGGGATGGAGATGAGATCAGCACACACAGTTAGCGAAGCCTGTTCCTCCATCCGCAGAGCTCTGCTGGCTGCGCAATGCCTGCCCCACCAAGCCAGCAATACGCACAGAAACACTTCAGACAATTCAAAGAGAGGGGTTTTCAACAGCCTCACAGGAACAGTTGAGTGTTACTTTGAGAACCACATGAACGGAGGCAGAGGTGCACAGCACAGGGCTGCAGTCTGTTAATTCACACAGGGAAGAGACTGAGAGTTATCTTCAGTCCAGAACTGGCTGACACTCGATGTGAAATTTGAACAGCTATCAAAATCTTCATTTTGTACACCACAAGTTAAAAAAAAACAAACCAAAAACCAACATACATTGCAATACACCTCCTAATTTAAACAACAGCAATAAAACCTTGGAGTAAGAGGAGTAAGAGATGAAAAAGACACACTCACCAGCAATGCTGCTATGAAGCAAGGTTAGGTGCAAAGGCACGCATTCTTGAAATAGTTGATTTGATTTGGCTGCAGTGCTACCCAGGAAAAACCAACAGTTCAGGCACATACTTACTTCCTCTTCATTTCATTAATCCACCCCAGCCCACGCTGTCACCACACAGTGTGTATTGCAGGCACTTTGCCTCCAGGCCGCTCTGCCCAGGTGAAGCAGCACATCATTCCTCTTTTCTTAACTTTTCCCAGCTGTGTTTTGCTGACTATCCCCAGCAACTCCACCTGTTCCTGCAGATGGAGCAGCTGCAGCTAAAGGCAAACACCTGGTCCTGCTGCAGCAGGGGTTCAGGGTTACAGCAGCTCCTACCCGGCTTGTGTCAGTGCTCGGCACAATATGCTGCTCCTACAGAACCAAGGCCACCTAAAACCCCGTGTGCTGATTTTTGCACTGAGCAAGGTTATTAGCATACAGTCAGCTTCTGCAGACTACTTGCCTTTCACAGCCAGTGGGACACAGAGCTGAGCAGCAGAATGGCCCTGCTGCAGCTCACTGCCACGGGTCTTGGCTGGGATCATGCCTCATGGCTGCACTGCCCACCTGCACCCAGCTCCCACCCTTCTGCCAGTCCCAGTGCCATGATAAACACATCTGGGTTAAGACCAGGAGGTGGGGGTCGGCTTCTGCTCCCAGGTAGCAGTGACAGGACAAGATGGAATGGCCTCAAGTTCTGCCAGGGGAGGTTAAGGTCAAATATTAGGAAAAATTTCTTCTCAGAAAGAGCAGCGATGCAGTGGCACAACTGCCCAGGGAGGTGGTGCAGTCACTGTCCCTGGAGGTGATACAAAATGTGGAGATGTGGCACTGAGGACTGTGGTCATTGGGCATGGCGGAAGGGTTAGGGTTGGACTTGATGATCTGAGAGGTATTTCCCAACTTAATGTGTCTATGATTCCAAGATGCAACCACAGAGAGTAGAGCGGCATGCTTACAAAACCAAGCAAACCCATTGCCCAGCAGGTTCCAAGTGTCTGGGTGTAACAGCATGGTGAAAGAAGTTACCTGGTCCTTAGCCCTGATTTTTTGAGGAATTGAACCTAATCCAGAATCACAGTCCATCTGACTTAATCCAAAATACAATCCAGCTGATTTAGTCCATCAAGGAAGAAGGTCCACCAGATTTAATCTATTTTGGAAGAATGAAAATAACTTGAGCAAAAATTAAATTCTGCACAGACGAAGCTGACAGATTCAGGGATTAGTTCAAGAAAGCCCAGGGATCAACTTAGATAAGAAAGATCCTTCAGCAAATTAAACTGTTTTCCTGACTGCTCACCTCAGAAAAAGGACAAAACTCCAGACTTCCCAACTCAGCAGCACAGGGACAGGACCTGGGAGCAGCACGGAGTGCTGGGGCTGCCACTCACACCTCCAAGGCTCTCCAAAGTCTTCCTGGACCAAGCCCAACAGGGCCAACATCAGTGCAAACCCTTTGCAGGTGCCAGTCCGTGTTGCTGTTCCTCCTCACCTGTGTCTCAGCACAGCCCCACGGCCAGAAGCTGGCTGTGAAAACGGAGTGCTCCCACTTGCTTGACCCATGCAGAATGGGTAACCCCAGAGGGATAATCCTGCTTTAAGAAGGGAACAATGGGACCTTTGATGAAGCATACAAATTTTATAAAAGCCCCACTAAAACATTCCTTTGTCTCTGGTAATGGATGATGGACCTCTAAAATGAGTGTTGCATGTGCCTGCCTTAAGCTGTGTAACGTAATACAAGGCAGGCAGAGCAGGCTTCTCTTTCTTGTATTGCAAGACACCATAAAATCCATAACAATGCTGAAGGCAAGTTTCCCATGCCTACACATATCTGTGTGCTGCCTCTGCCACAGTGCGCAGCTCGAAGGAGCTCGTGGCCAACCCATCCAGCCCCATCCCGCAGGGCAAGGCCCCTCTATGTGCCACAAATGGGCCTGGGGACAGCGCGAAACCTGCAGCTGCTTTCATGCTGAGGCGACAGGGACTGGGCTGCAGCACAAGGCGATCCTCACTCCTGCTATTAGTCAGCCTCTGTGAAACTGAGAACCAGTGCCAGGATTTGCATTAAAAAAAACCAACAAAAACAGTATCTGAAAACAATTCATTACAACCTAGGTGCAGAAAGCCACTTTATGCTCACCGTACAAAAATCCTCAAACACTTACTTGTTCTCTGACTTCGTGGTACCTCGGTCCAGCAGCACAGAAGGGACATTTCAGCACTTTGTTTCACCCTTCAGTGTAAACACACACACAGCGCTGAGGAAAAGCAGCAACGCTGTGACCTGACACAACCACCGTGCTGGGGATCATCCCCACGCCGTATCAGTGACTGGAATTACCAGGGCTTTGCCAGCAGCTCAGTGAGATGGAAACTCACACTCCCGCTGCCAGGATATGTTTGCCGGGATATAAACTATTTGGATGCCTGGAATATTTTGCCTCAGCGTTATAAAACAGGTGCAGATAGGTGCATCTCCATCCACAGAGCAGCTGCTCTGGGAAGCACAGCCACATGGAGCTCACCATCCATAGCAGAGCTGTGCTTTGCACTGCCCTCGCTCTGATCTCTGGCTCGACCCCACACTGGAGGGACGGTCAGCACAGAGTTGGTCACCACACATCTTCGGGGCTCTGTGCAGGACCAGCCCTGTCCCGGCCTTCAGTTCATTGCAGTGTGCTGCAAGCCCCCCTGCCCAGGCTGCCTGCACCCAGCTCTGTGGCCTCAGCTGTCAGCCCGGTGCAGCTGGTGCCCAGGCAACATCAACAGCATTGGCAAGGGTGGAGGAGAGGCAGGGATGTGACACGCACAGCATGCAGGAGCAGCGACGAAGCCCACAGGCCTTGTTTTTGCAAGCATGTTTTACCATAAAAACAGAAGTAATTTTATTCTCATAACTTTATAGCTAACTTAACTCTTTTAATTAGAGGTATGGGGCTCAAGGGAAACTGCTATAATTACTGAATGGAAAATAAAATCTGATGAAATGGCAGCTGCAGTAGCTGAAGACTTAACATTTAAATAAAACTGAGATCAGGCAAATCAAGAAACTTGTACAAACCGCCCGTGTTCTGATACTCACGTACCCACACACACACAAAAAGATGTTTTAGAATAAAGCAATTTTCTTTTTCCTCTTTCGAAACACCTTTGAAAAAGCAGTACTACAAAAGAAAAGAAATTTGTTCAGTAAGATAAGTGCAAGCAAGAAGAAAAAGGAAGGAGACATGCCTGTGAACATCTTTGATTCAAAGAGCACCCCAGCACACAACCAGCACAAGGCAACGCAGGTGCTGCTCTGTGCAGGGGCAGGGAAGGCAGCGCAGGGTGTTGTGGCTGCTGCCTCTACGGGCTGAGCTGAGACACCTAGCCTTCTCCACTCTGCTCCTCTCTTGCTCACAGAAGACTCCCAGCTTTGCCCTGCATGTGTGTTTTGCCTCTGTCACATGAGCTGCCCTCCTGGTACAGCATCCAGGCTGGTCCTTCAATATCAGGGGAACCTGCGAAAGAGAGGGCACTGCGCCTGTAAGCATTCTCTGCTCATCTTTTCAGTTCCAGCACTGAGCTGTAACACAACTGTTATCTGCTCCCTTAGTGCCTCCACTTCTCCTTTTGGCAATGCAGAATCCACAAACGCAAACCAAAGAGCAGAGCTCAATGCTGTGATCACTGCACTGTACAAACCCCTGTAAAATAAATATTTAAAACGTTTGAATGAGCCCTGGGTTAGCAAGAGGGCTAGCATGGAAAGCCAAGAGATTAAACTGACAGGATTTGTGTCCACCATTGGACCTTGTCTCACTTTCAGCCAGATTTAGCTGCTGGAAACACAAATGTACTGAGAGTTCCCAGATAGGACCAAAACATAAACAGCATTTCAAGCATGAAGCTGGGAAGATTTTTGCAGGCTTGCGTTCATCCTCAAATAAGATCAGAAAGGCATGGAGGAAAACTTGAAAAAATTGTCCTGTCAAGCAACGAGAACCACAAACCATTCCCTGCTGCATGGGAAATCAGCATGTGTTCAGAGCCAGGAGTAGCACCATTAACCTATAGACTATGCTAGAGCAATGCGAGTTTTCCAGAAAAGGGGCATCTGCCTCAAAGAGTCTTCCTCAGGAGACTCCATCAAATTAACTTCTAGGTGTCAGGCACACCTGGATACAGGGGGTGGCCACACTTTCACAGAAATAAAGCACCCCTTGGGGATAAGGCACCCATCAGTGTGTTCTAAAAGCTGGTGACTCATGTGGCCGAAGAGCTGTAATCTAAGGTCAGACTTCTGCAGCAGAGAGATAAATGAACGGTGGTAAATGGAAGCAGATGGTTCACCAAGAATTCCTTTTTGCACACTGTTGATTTGTGATCCCGTTACCCAGCAGCCAGGCCTACAACCTGAAGGACAAGCCACTGCCAGCGTCTCCACACTCCAATTCCTCCTTTCTCAGCACACATTTAGCCTGGCTGAAGAAAGGAAGAACAGAGGAAAGGAAGGCAAGCATGGACATGCATATTTCCCTTCTCTGAACATAGCTGGAGGTGATAGGGCCTTTAAACAGCCACCACGCTTGGCATGAAGTGAGAGATCTCTGCCCTACCCCACAGCACGGAGCTGCTTTCTCTTCGCAGTGGTCCCGGCAGTGCTCTCCTAGATCTGTTGAACAAGTCTCCTTCATGGTTGCCACCCATCTGCCACGTTCTTTTTTTTCTGGACACCACTGTCAGAGTTGCTGCCTTTCCTCTTTGTCTCTAAGAATCAGTCTGTGTGAACATCCAGCCATGGCAGAAGCACCAAAATATCCTCCAGCAGGTGTCCATGCTCATAGAGGAAGTGGGTACTTAAGCTGACACAAGTAATCTCAAATTAGGCGTCAGGGTTTTTCAGCACTTCCTGACCTGAGAGCTGGATCACATCTCTGGAAAAATCTTCCTGCAGATGCCAGTTTCTCAGCCCAACGCCAAGCACGGCTCATATTGTTACTCACCATGGGCAGGTGATCCACTGGCATCTTCAGTGTGAACAGGGAAGCAAGCAGCAGAAGGAAAGCAAAGAACTAGAAAGAATTTCTGGCTAGAATTTGCTGCTTTAAATCACCACACAAACATAGGCTGTGTGCTGGAACCGCCACGCTCGCATCACAGAAG